GAGTCTGTTGCATTGCAAAGCGTGTAGATTTTGAATCCAAAACATTTGTGTTTCTTAGGGATGTATTGCTTAAAAATCACCCTCTGAATATTACAATGACTTCGTCCACAACTAGATGTTCACGAGGATTACAATATTTTTGTACATGTCAATGAGTGTCAAAAATAGTCTGTCAATACCACAGATGGTCAAAGTCATCACCTTGCTTGTCACTGCCTTTATTGTTTCCTGTGAAGTGCAAGTATTGGTCGCATTTCAATGTGATGCTATAAAGTGGTGTAAAAAACAGTTCAGTAGTTCCTTAATCTGTCTCTAATGTCATGTCCTAGTTGAACAATGATCCCTAGAAACAAAAACATCTCAGAATTGGTGATGTCAGGGACTGGAGAAGGCCTATCATCAAGTCTGTCTAGGTACAGCTGATAGTACTGGTTTGTCTCTTCTGGCAGCAGATGGATAACAACCAAAAAATATAGCACAAAACGCTGAATTGGATGGAATCCTTATTCACATGTAGAGCTTCGTTGAGTTTTTTCTCCACTGTTTCACCACAAAAATGATGACACCCCTTCTGTCATGCTGTTGTGGCATTCCCGATGATGATGGTTGCACAATTTTCTTGTCCTCCACATCTTCACAGCCCATGTCATATGAAGTACCTTCTTCCTTTCTGCATTGCAGTCAGATTTAGAATCACATATTAGCTGAGCTTCAAATTCATCAACTTCCAGTCAACGTCTAATGGCCATGATGAGATGAAATGAAACTGTACATAACTCCTCTCTGTTACAAGCCTACTACCAGTGAGTGAGGCTTCAAAGATTCCTTTTACAGCTATGATGATGTGACCATACAAAAGGAAATGTCACTGAGAAATACTGGCCTGGAAGGCTGCATGTTAGCTTTGTATGTAAGGTGTAAGATGTGTTCACAGACACTTTGGGTGCAGCATTGTTTGGATTCTTTCTCACATAAACAATAACAGCAGTCACTGCAGGCACAAATCTGAGCAGTGCATTATTTTATAATGCAGAACCACAATGCGAAGAAGAGACAGTTCTTTTTTCAAACTGAATGCCAAAAATTAAAAGAAAAAGAACTTATATATCACTTTTGTTTGGTCATTTTTCAGACATGACATTATGTGATACTATGATATTATTTCATAAGGACAAAGCCTATTGCATACATTTATCATACAAATTTCATTGGTTGCAGATTTTTTAATAACATGCTTAAAATTATTCAAATGCTCTGAAGCCATTGGTATTTAAATTCCAGGCAGTTGCCTAGGTGCGTAAGGGATAATACTTCAAATTCTACTGGATACAGTACTACTGTTTCTACAGCATAAAATTTTCCTTTTTTCCCCCAATTTCAAAGAGAAATTATCCTGTCCTATACAAAATTTCTACTGGATCCCCTACTCCATTTCTATGGAATCTAGTCCTAATCTATTCTGAATTCTGTTGGATATAATGTTACCCCACAACTAACCAACAACGGTGCAATCTCTCTCATGCAGAATAAAAGCTCTGGATTTGAAATCAGTTAAATCAAATTCTTTCATATCATACACTTAATTTATAAGCCATCATTTATTTCAATACAGGCAAAGCCAGAACAGCTGGGCCAACATTACACTATGGCAATGAAGTATAAACCATAGACTGATAAGTAATGGGGTAATTCATCAAACAGCAAAAAGATATTCACTTTTCAAAAGAAAATTGTTTGATTATTGGCTGGTGTAAAACCTAGAAATTCATGTAGAAGTGAAGAGTGCATATTATTCAGGGATCAAAATTTTCAACAGTCTACCATCAAATCTCACAAGTCTTGTAAATAAAAAGGCACAATTTAAACCAGCATTGAAAAGATACTTAATTACACAATCCTTTTACTCTGTCGATGAATTTCTAATGTTTACAAGTAAGTCATAATTTATCTATTGTATATAATGGGTGGATTTATTTGTAACTTATCTCTACTTTATGTGAACCCTGTTTGTATTTTGTGAAATTTATATAATAGTACTTTATAATAGGTATTGTATCATTATTAACTTTTTCCACATCCTATTGTCATCTGACTGTCTTATGGATCCATGGAATGTAATAAAGATGTATGTAAGTAATGACAGATTTAGAGACTTAAAAAAACAAATTTTATAAAAGATCATATAAGGAATTAGAAAGAACATTAAGAGATAAGAAATCTTGGAGAGGATCCTTCCTCCACTCACAGAACTATAAAATAATAGTCTGGAAGAAGAAGGCACTTAGAAAGACCAGAAAAAATGAAAATGTTTTTGTTTGTATAGCCTGTAACAGGCCAACTATGGTTAATGCTAGGGAGGATGATGTTCTGTTCATAACAGTCGTGATGAAGACAAAGCAACACTATTCCAATTAATTAACCCTGCATGGAACAAAAATAAATTAGTAAATCAGAACTTACGTTCCAGTTAGCAATTCATGCATGAGAACTCCAAGAGACCAGTAGTCCACAGCTCTGTCATGACCCTTGTTCAGGATTATTTCCGGTGCTACATACTCTGGCGTTCCACAGAATGTCCATGTTTTAGAGATTGAGCCAAGTCTTTTGGAAAAGCCGAAGTCAACCTGCACAAAGTGAAGTTTGAGTCTTAAACTATACCAGTGGTATCCCATGAAAATAAAACGTTTAGGAATATTTCCATATACAGTCCCACTATAACAGAGTACTCCTTGAGAAACTGATGGTTGCTCTGTTGGTCAAGAAATTGCATGCTTTTATGGAATCTGAAGTTTCATTATTATTTCCACAAGATCCAGCATGGGATCCTCCATACATGCATATCCTCTCTAGAAACATGGGACACTGGACGAATGAACTGGATTTATACCACCTGTTACAAATGATGCTTATTCTCTTTTCTAAAGAAAGAACGGCATCTCACTCGGTGTTTACAGAATCATATTCTTATCATAGATATTTTATTCAATTAGTCACATTAATGTTTGATGGAAGCTGAGAGGAATTTCACTTACCAGTTTGACATAGCCTTGCATGTCCAGAAGTAAATTTTCTGGTTTCAGGTCTCTGTAGATAATGCCTCGTACATGAAGGTATTCAAATGCCTCGACCACACACGCTGTTACAAAGCGGGTTGTGTGATCATCAAAACACCCTCTGTCCCTCAGTATTGTCCACAGCTCTCCACCCAAACACGCTTCCAGAAGCATGTACACATACTTAGAATCTCGAAAAGTGCGATATAACCTGCAGGAAGTTAAACATTACACATACTGTTGTATAAAGTGAAGCTTTCGCGGTGACTAGAGTTGACGAAAGACTCTCGGGTTACAAGCCGCGTCAGGTGGCAGAAGATATGGTTTATTCACCATTCAGCCACCTGACGTGGCTTGTAACCCGAGAATCTTTCATCAGTTATACATAATATCAGAAAATGATCTGGCAACCCAGAATGAAGGAGATGAAAGCTTGTCATGCAGCATGTTAGTGAAGAAATCATGTATTTGTGAAAAATGGGAAGACAAATGACAACCATGAAGCCAGTGACACAAGAAGTAACTGGTAATGATTCCTGTAAAGTAGTGGTACAAACACTGAACAAGGTGCTTGAAAATATTAATAAAGTGATAATATGCTTGTAACATCACACTGATAATGAAAACCTTCATTTATTGCATGTGACCTGCTTCAAGCATCATGTATTAAAAAGAAAACACTGTCATCAGTTCCTACAAACAGAAGAACACAACTACTTCAGTGAGATGTATGAAATATAATATTTATCTTAAAATGGTTATGTCTTTGTTAATGTGTACTGTACCCATAAAAAAAACAGACTCCAAAATTAGATAAAAATTGGTTTCACTTGTAATGTATGTAGCGTATAATAATGGAGATGTTGAAACTGTCTGCCAACACCTGCAGTATATCAAGATTCTATTGTGAGAAAAGCTGTCTCACTATATGTCACGTAGGTGCTTGGAGGGGGGAGGACGAGGTATAGCTCCTACTCATTCTTAACGTCAACACTAGATAGGGGTGAATGGTCAGCATCATGCCTTAGCTATGCTTTACCCCCATGAAAAGACCCTGATACCCATTGCATAGAAGGCTGGGTGGGCTCCACAGCCAGACTGGTTGCAGATGCTGGAGAAAAAATCCTCTATCCCTGTAGGGGATTGATCCCCAATCATCCAGTCCATAGTCAGTCACTATAGTGACGGAACTACCCAACTCATAGGATCCTATTGTATATTAACCTAATTTGATCAATTATATGATTCATGTGACCACAAGTGCCAGTTCCCTTTGGCCAGCGCGAAACAAAGCAATGGACGGGCTACCAGCAACATCATACTACCAGCCATCCACCACCAGTTTCCCTTCAGTGAGCATGCTACAAAGGATCAGATTTGTTACCCAGCAGCCCTGAGGATAAAAGCAGAGATTGTTCTCAAAACGTTGGCAGAAGAAATGGTTTATTCACCGTTCAGCTACCTGATGTGACTTGTAACCCAGGAATCCTTCATCATCATCATCATTTATGATTCATCATTTGACATTAGCATCTTCATGTGGATATACACAATATACAGTTAATTATTAATTTAAAATCTGGAACTTCCTTTCAGTGTGATGTTATTACGACCTAAGTGATGTATAGAATAGTTATAAAAATACTATTCTTCTTTAAAATTTAGACAAAACATTCCTGGAAAAGTTTCCTTTCAGGTGAATGCTTCATTTGACTTCACAATTTTACTACTGCATACTGATTTGTATGATGCAGATTTGTGAGGTACATGAGTCACAAGTGTGTTAATCTCAATATGCAGGATAGTCTGAAATAAGAATAGCTATATAATAAAGATATGAAATAGACAAGAAAATATGCAATACACAATCTTGACCACCTATGAACAATTATAATGACAAAAGAGCACCATATCCATCAAATACATCTGTCAAGAAAACACAAACCTGGTGAAGCACAGTGTAAGATTATCTCAAGGGAAATTACGTAGAGTTCTAGGCATTTTCTGGTGAAGGAAATATTTGCATTACAGTGTAGAAGTTGATGTTTTATGCTCATGAATGGCATATGCTTTTATTCTGACTAGTAGGCACTGATGAGATGTAGGAGGGCAAATGCACCTGCAGATGAAGGGGCTACGGCAACTCAACATGATGCTCTTCTCGCTGTACACGTGTTCTTGTTGCTGTGTGTCAACAATATGCTGCTTCTTGAGGCACTTGAGTGCAAATGTTTTGGTCTTGTCGTACATGTACTGTACCAGCTCCACCCTGCCAAACCCCCCAACACCCAGGGTTGCTATCACATCCAGATCATCCAGATTCATGTAGTCATACTCTGAGAGACAAAAAAACAACAGAATTAGTGATCTCTGTTAAACAGACAGCAGTATGGCAGCATTATTCAGACAGGCCTTACTCACCCTGATCCTAATTATTTACAGATTATGTGACATTCTGACTAACTAACCTAATCAAACCGAAACAAGCTACGTATCTAACTAATTTAATGACAGATGGCTTTCCTTGAGCAGCTGGCATTTATTTAAGTGATCAAGAAAAACTCTGCTGCTGTGTCTTATGGTTCAATATCATCTGCAGAAATCTTGTTAAGGGATCCTATTCTATGTCTTTCTAATATGCAAGTATTATTATTCTTCCATCTATGGCTACCTCTTACAATCTCTTGTACTGACCTTGTTCACTATCAGAGTAGATGCTGAATAAACTGGCTGGCCTGGACAGACCTCTGCTCTCATCTCCATAGTCCTTCTCATGTAGTTCACTAAGATCTCCTATCAGCTGAATGAAGGACTCTCGGTCAAGAGTGAGACACTCAACACCAGGTGGAAGCGCGATGATACTGGCAGTACGACAGTCTTCTTTGAGTAGGGCCTGCTCTCCAAAGTAGTCCCCACGTTCCAGTGTCCTGATCTCTTCTTCTTCCCTTCGGCCTGGGACTCGTTGTGTGACTTTAACACTGCCACTACTGATGATGAAGAAGGTGTCGCCACTGGCTCCTTGGCGTATTATGTGAGCACCAGCGGGATAAAATTCCTGCCAGATACATAAACCAGAACACACTCACAGCAATGACATAACATTTCCTGAAGGAACATTACACTCACTTTAATAATTTTCTTTCTTTTCAGATGTGTCTGGCACTTCTGATTTGACATTTGATATGTTAATGCCAACTCCAGTATAAACAAACCAGTAACCATATTTCCTTGAATACTTCATGGCATAAATGACATGACCCTGTAATCCTCTCTGGCAAACCACATTAGACAAAGAAAGAAAAAATCCACAAAATAATGTGTGCTTACAAACATCGTTTGTAACTGCACTGTAATTAACTGCAATGCAATTACATGAAATATTTTGTGGTTTTGTTTTCCTTATGATGATTGCCAGGAGGATTATATTTTATTTGATGAGGATTATGAACAAGAAAACAACTAAAATACAATGCGGATTATTTAAACAACAATTGTAGATGTGGATGTTATTTTTGTTCATTAAATAACCTTCTCAGAAAACACATGTCTATTACTCACAGTAATAATTCATCTTCTCTAACATGTCACTCGGTATAAATACCAAAAGGAAAAATACAACACGGTAATTTTCAATTATGCACTTGATTTATAAACTGCATAACAAGCCAAGTTTTGCTTATTCTTGTTGGCCTTACAACTATGTGATCATGAAGATGAGTGCATACAACGACACACTAATTATATAAGACAACAACTATCAGCAAAATACCATTGAAGAAGCTGGCGGATATTGAGCAGAAACAAATACTGCAGACACATCTTCAGAATCTAGTCAACATACAACCGTAAGAAAAAATATCATCGATGCCATGGACATGGAACGGTCAAACAAACAACAGGGAATTGTGGCCAAAAGTGGCAAAACCTTCAAGAAAAGAATTTCGTCTTCCTCTGAAATGATACATACTACACCTAGTAAAACAAAAAGATCAAATTATGTTAACAGACCAACAACCAAACAAACAAACAAACAATATACACTTAATTATAAACAGCACAGACAATCTCCATTATGCTCCAAAATCATTAGCAACGCTAAAAATTTATTGTCAGTTGATAAAAGCAAATACAGCGTCAAACATGCTTTGATTTTTCAAGAAGTCATCAGACAAGACCACACATATTCAGTCAAATAAAAACATGTCTTTGTCAATACCACATGTACCAATTATTCATACAAGAGCAAACTTCAACAACTCCTCACAAAGCTTACAATCCATTAGGGATGGAAACTTTACAATCAATACTCCTGAACTTACAAGATCTTACACACCTAGAAATACAAGGAACCAATCCACCATGGATGACGAAAGCAATAACACAACTAACACATGTATGAGACCCAGTTATCACACCTTCATAATTCGCATGTCCCACATCTCCAATGCTAACCGGACATCACAACAAACCTCAATCAGAAGATTAAACCAACCAACATTCACTGCTATTGAACAGAGACCATATTCATATCTTCTTCTTCTTCTATGGCTCTCCGGTCTGTATTCAGTCCATGGCCTCCTCAATTCTCCTCTTCCATTCGGTCCTCTGTTAGGTCTGTCTGTCCGAGGCTTTGATCGAGGTTTCGAAACATCTTCCTTTTTATTATTATTATTATTCAGTATAACCTCTTTCCGTAACAACGCAGGCACCCAAAAAAAGCCTTGGCGGGCGCCATGGCGCCCGCGGGCACCGCGTTGGGGACCACTGATCTAAATGAAAAGAGCTTCTATCTTTTTCTCCTGATATTGTTGCTGTTTGCAGAGGTAGTAATAAACTAAGGAACATAGTTTCCCTGTGTTTGTAGATCCTTATCTACAAAAGTATTTACTTTTTTGAAAAGTTTACTGTGTAGGCTTCTGTGTACACACAGCAAATTTGTATGTCTGTGGCTGAACTGTTCTTCATACGGAACTCAATCACTGCATGTCGGTGAAATATGTTGTTGACAGACATTTTGTGACAGTGGCTTGTGGGAACACTAATGATGCATATGTACTAGGTCTATATTTAAATTGGCCAGGACTGATACTGGCCTGTCTTAAACCCCATTTTCTATCTTCCAAATATTCTAAAGATTTTTAGTATGGGACACATATCTTTAGTGAAGTAGGCGGTGACATCGGCCTTCATATTATGTGCCTGCTTATTTGAAAGAAAGCTAAATTAATGCCTGAAAAAATTTCAGAATAATTGACGGGTGATGATGTTTATCTGCGCTTGTTTCTGGTAAACGCAACCATTTTTCACATGCAAACATTCTTCATGGCTACCCAACCAATGAAGTATAGAAACATGAATGAAAATAGGAATAGGATAACAGCAACAATGGTGGCCGACAGTGAAGGTGGGTTTTAAACCACACTTGGTATTCTCAGCGTTCCTAAAGACCAAGCTTTGGTAAAGAATAATTCTTTTCAATCTATCCACAGATAAATTCTCATCCACATCCTATTGAGGACTAAACCAAGGACTGTCTGAGCAACAAACTGGAGTCATATTTTGAGACCACCAGGTACACTTACAAAAATTATTACTGAATACAGCAGAAACTTACCACTTCTAGTACATCAGCAATCTTGGCCAACACATCACTACTAAGGTTTTGTAGTAGTGGAACACTATGCAGAAAGTTGACATTATCCTCCAGCCGCTGGAGTCCTGTTCGCATCATTATCTGCTGGAATACTCGTCGGTCAAGCACCCACACTTTCGAGTCTGATATCACTATTTAAGAGAAACAGGCATAATCATGACCTACTGCTTTATGGACTTTGCTTTGATGAGTCATTGTACTTCAGCTGGCATACTGGTATTTATCATCTTCATCACTGTTTTTAGCATTAGGTCTAGATAGCCCGTAACAGGTACTTTGTTCATAAGGCTGATATATTACATGTTTCAGCCACATTTGCACATGATCACTGGTTGGTACCTCACCTCTGATGGAAGCTGTCCGGGTGCAGTTGTACAGTATGGCAAGTTCACCGAATGCCTTGCCAGGTCCCATCCTTCCCAACACCTTTTCTTCCTTTATAACCTCAAACTCCCCCTCAGAAGAAACATACAAATGAGAACCTGCAACAAAAAGTGCAAACACTTCTGGGTTAAGAGCTTTCAGGTGCACAAATACAATATTGCTTGTTAAAGGAATTAATAGAATGTAATCTTAAAACCTGTTTTGCATTTGTCAGAGTAGAACAGATGAAACAAGCTCGAAAAGCGTATTCTATACCAAAATACGCCACCCTTGGTGGTTATCGTGCTCGCCACTGGACCCAAGGTTTGTGGGTTAAAACTTGGTTGAGGTAGATGGATTTTTAAAGGTGATAAAAATCCATAGCGCAACTTCCTTCGGAGGGGAAGTAAAGCCGATGGTTCCATATCGTAGATTTGTGGCATGTAAAAGAACCTTACGAGCATGAACGAGATGTTTTGCAAGCAAAATTCAGTGGCCATTTCTCACCCAAGTCTCTCCTGATTCTCTACTAGATGGCTCTAGCAGACAAGTCATAATTGAGTAGAAATTGTGCAGAGGCACTGGCCTTGTCACTTACTACTCACAAATGCACATTTCACAGACCAAGAAACCTCCCACATGGGAGGAGGCCAAGGCCCAAACTTGGTCTGTAGTGCCATTGGATGGATACCAGAATACACATAATATCGTCATTCATTAGGACTAGGATTATTTATTATCTTAATATTAATCCATATCATCATGCATTCCATGCAACATACATTTAGAGGCATGACATTAGCCTTGTTTGATTGTTCTCACTTTGGCCACCAAATCACAGCACCTCAATGTGTACCTCATGATTTTTCCCATCTGTCATTTGGTTATCACAGCTCGTAGGATGTTCAATAGCAAAATTTTGAGGTCGTGCAGAATAGCACAACTTCCACATCAAATTTCATCTAAAATCTGACCAGTGGTTCTCAATTTGAATTGACCGGACACACAGATGGAAGGACGGACAGACACGACCAGCCCATTATTATGTTCTTGCTATGCACTTCATGCAAAGAATGCATAAATATGCAGTTATGAAAGAAATGTAAGTAAGATAATATAATTTTTATTGATCCATTGTATGGAACACTCCTCCTCAATATGAATTCCTAAACATACTGCTACATGTTTTATACTGAATTATTTTTTGATTATTTATTTAGTAGATACGATAGGATAGATAAAACACCTTTGTACTGAAAACTGTCATAAATGGTTGAGTGGCCATATGACATGGCAATTTCAATTTAACAAAAGACAAGCTAAGTGATGAACTACCTTGATATTGCCCCATCAGAAAAAGTCAATATTCAATAACAAAACATTCCGTATATTTGGTAGTAGCATGAGATGTTCGTCTTCAGCTATTCAGGACAACATTGGAAAATTGTATTACAATCTGGAAAACACATTTTATATTGTAATTTTGTGTCCTTCAATAACCTTTATATTAATATTCTGCAGACACATCCACACCACTGAGACAGCTGATAAACAATGACATTGCACAGCATGAAGCTTAAATAATTTCATACGAATATTTTTTTTTTATATCTTAATTGCGTCATGTTTGTGTTTATTAATACAATAATTTATTTACCGTCTTTACACAAACTTAAAAATGTTGTTAAAATTACTTAAAATTATAACATTTTTTCATTAGATACTAGATCTTGTTACATTTTACATTTGACGACATGTTTCGATGTTATCTCATCATCATCAGGTCTATCAATTAAAATCTGTTGCACTTCTTGCTCTGCGTATATTGATTTGTTTTATTTGTTTGATTTTTTAAGTTCCTTCCATTAAATTTGAAGGCTGTGCCCGGATGCTTTAAATCGGGTTGTATGTGATGTGTTGTGTGAGTTGCAATCTACTGGCCTGTAATATCGGACACAACACATCACATACAACCCGGTATGTTTTACTACTTTTAATACTATTTTGTGATTCTTTTACTTGTATTACGATATATTACGTAATAACTCTTTAAATTAGTAAATTATTCTATTTCCTATGTCATTATCCAAAATCACGATTTGAAAATTAAAATTAAATTTTACAGATTTAAAGCATCCGGGCACAGCCTTCAAATTTAATGGAAGGAACTTAAAAAATCAAACAAATAAAACAAATCAATATACGCAGAGCAAGAAGTGCAACAGATTTTAATTGATAGACCTGATGATGATGAGATAACATCGAAACATGTCGTCAAATGTAAAATGTAACAAGATCTAGTATCTAATGAAAAAATGTTATAATTTTAAGTAATTTTAACAACATTTTTAAGTTTGTGTAAAGACGGTAAATAAATTATTGTACGAATATTTTTGTTAATTACACGGTCTATCAAAAATGTTTTAAATAAATATTACCAAACATTGTGGTCAAATGGTAAGCACTCCCGTTTCATATTTTGGAGTTTCCTGTTTCAAATCTTTGCTTGGAGACCAGATAGCCTGACTAAAGTCATGGTTTTCCTCAGTCCCTCCAGTCAAATGTCAGGATAGGTGAACACCATTTCCTCCGACGTCATTTCTAATTCATTACTCACTAACATCTCCTCATTTGAGCTACTGACAGTGTCATAAAATAAACTATAAATAAATATATAAAATTAAATAAATATCACAGACCTTAAAGATGTTGATATTTCATATTATTTACTCATTTCTGCAGTATGAGACTTTTTGAAATGTTTACTAAAGTAAGATTTTCACATCGTGTAAGGAACGGTTAACAATGCACAATTTTTAGAATCAAAATTAGTTATTTTTACAACTTTCAATGTAGTGTTCCAACTAAATCAACTAAATTCTGTAGAGAAATTTTACAAGTAAATTATATATGAAAACCAAGGAAAGTAAGGACTCATATGATATCCGATACCATACCTGCCTCCCCTTCCCGGATTACGTAACTGCCCTTGGCATACTCTAACGGATACATCGAATCCACCAGCTCCCGCACTTGGCTGGAATCGAGATTCTTCAAGAAATCATTATCCATAATGGCATCTTTTATCAGTTGCTTTGATCTGAAAAAAATACAGATTATGACTCTAAAGAATCAAAGTGCGAAAACAAACAACACACAATGAAATATATGTGGAACACACTTCTGGTTCCAATTTGTAAATTTCTGAACTTACTAATTTTCATGAATTCACAAATTATATGAGAACTGAAGTAGTATCTTATTTCTACAGTGTAAGACAGTGGAGACCAAAAATGTTTAAAGATAAATTTGGTCTTAAAAGAAGTGAACCGAGCAAGGAATGAAAACAATCAGACATGAAGGCGCTTCATAGTTTGTACCATTCACCTAAAATTGTTAGAATGAACAAATAAGAAGGTTTAATTAGTGTGGGCAAGGCTTCTTCATAGTCCCGCGCCATAGCCACGCGGTCTGAGGCATCATGCTTCAGACCGGCGATACGAAATACGTGCTGGTTCGAGTCTCGGGGGATAAGAAATTTTCTCATGAGCTTTCGACCAGTATATGGACCGGTGTCAACCCAGCATCGTGAGGAAATTGGGGAGCTACAATGTATAGCGTAATCTGGTCAGGAAAGTTAGCAATGGCTGGGGGTTCGTCGTGCTGACCACACGTCACCCTATATCTGGTTGGATGATCGTTCACCTCTACTTAGGCATGTGAGGCCAGCAGTCAAGTTAGTCGGCTTTGGCTCTCTGGAGCTGTTACGCCACGGATTTTTAAGGATTCTTGATAAAAGTTGACTCAAAAATCTCACAGAATGTTCACGGTAGTCAAAGACACTGGTAACGCAATGTTAAAATAAACCATATGGACAGAGACACTGAGGATGTACTCAAGTGGTACATCACAGAATCAAATATGTTTTCCCATAACAACAGGGAATGAAAGAACAGTGAAATAACTGTAGATTGTTAGGGAAAGTAACACCAAGATGAACCTCAGAGAAACAGATTCTGAGGGCAAAATTTAAAATAAAATAATTCCAAGACATGATATTTCTGGTTCCATAGTAACATACCATCTTGAGTTCAGTGCTTCTTCTCAGGGAATTTGTTAAACTGGCTGTCAGAGAAAAAGGTGTGAAAATGTGAACAGAAATAAACTAGCCCAAGGCAAACTGACAGTTCAACAACAGGTAATTTCTTAACTAAATAAGCAACTACCAGGTTCTCAAAGATTATTTTGTTCCAGACAGAGACATACCGGAAGTCCTTCTCAAATCTCACGATCTGGATGTTCTCGGCAGTCTGTCCCAAATCAGAGCTCTCGCCCGACACGCCCTGCTTCTTGTTTGTGTTGGACACACTGACCAACTGTTGGTGCATCTGACCAGCCATCCCATGTTGATCATGCAGGCTTGCCAACAGGTCCCCATCTTGTGAAAAGCTTGTTGCTTGCTGTAGCACACTCTGCAACAAAAAATCAACATTTTAGAAAGATAAAAATGAATCATTAAACTAGTAAAGCAGTTTATTAACTTTGAACATGAAATTTCAGTTTTACCAACATGCTGTCCTGCAAAAGACTGAGGTGGGAACAGCAATACCACAATGTATTGCAAACTTCTGAGGTGGAAATAACACTAGCATTAAATTGGAGCAGGCTCTTACAGACTTATCTTTATGTTGCACAGGATGTATATGAGAATGCCTGGACTGCGGAAGCAACGAGTCCATTGCTTTGTTGAGAAAATAACAGCAACATAAGAGTAACTGAGTCTATTTGGACACTGAATAAATTAATATGTACCTATAAGTAGAATACAATTTATGATTTGAAGCTTTCACAGCGACATACCTCAATAAAATCTTCTAATATACCATCATCCTTTGATCAAACATGTGCAATCTTATAAAGCTTCGGGTATTAAGATTGCTGTCTTCTGGGTTGTTGCGCCATGTAGTCTGGTAGATGTCCACCAACGTTTCAAAGGTCATGCTGCCTCCATCATCAGGGCGATGACCTCTGAAACGCTGGTTGACATCTACCAGACTACATGGTGCAACAACCCAGAAGACAGCAATCTTCAGACTCACTGCTGTCAAAACCTCAAGACTTACTATGGATATTACATTTCTTTGACTTCCTGAGTTATTTTCTTTGTATAAGAGTGCTAGAAAGAGTCTAGTATATGATACACAGACCTGTTAACATTTTGTCTTACCACTTATGTATTTTTTTATTTCTGTTGTTGTTTTTTTAGTATTTACTTGTTAATGACAATGTTTCATGTTATTCTGTTCCCTGTAGCTTTAGTGGCCATATTACTAAAAAGTATCCCACAACTCTCATGATCAACATATTGGCAATGACATTTCAAATCCACATTAAAAGCAGCCATATATTGTATTTATACCTTTTTAATACGTTACATCCATTTTCCTGTTGGAAAACACCAATCTTTCAAATGTATGAAGTCATGGGATTAAAAAAATACAAACATATTCCATACAATATTATGATCTCAAGAATGCCGTTTGGTTTACTGTTTTTAAAGCACACGTTATTAAAAATTAACATAGGACTTACTTTCCATCACTGACATACAATTATCTGCAGAATGCTTTCACATGAAATACCTTACGTCATCATTACTGTATGGCTAAATCCTGTGAAATCAATCAGTTTATGTTCGTCTGTGTGCGATATCACATCTCATGTGTCAATTAGCACTGGAAATAACAGACTTCCGGACTAACTGAATTGTACTAACTCCAGTCTTGCATATCTCTACGAACTGTACAAATCCTACGTTATTCACTGGCTTCGTCTGTCTCCAGGGAGGGTCGGAACGATAAACTGTAGGCCATCTAACCAGACACAGAGCATAGTATTAATGTGTACGGTCTCAGTTTACGATAATGGGCGGTAATGGTCGGTATAAACGCCATGTTCGCTGTTCATTCAAACACGAATAACTGCAGTCTAGGAGACCACACTCACTGTGTCAAAATGGTGATAAGTTAACCTATGCTTTTCTTCGCCCTGAAAGCAGACTCAAGCGCTGGCCTTCTCTATTACAGAGTTCTTTGAAGTCCAATGTAACCTTTTTTCCCACTTACTTCTGTGATCAGTTACTCTCCATTTTGTATATGTGGGTTTCGCATGATTCTCACTGTAAACAGCGGATATTTTCTTAAATAGCATTAATGAACTGACCTTTGCAACGGTGAAGTACTGCGTTTTATTTGCGGTACTTATTTTATATATTATATTTAAATAATATTTAGACGAGCTTAAAGGGAATTCTTATCAATACAAACGGCCGCACTTCTTGGATTGGAGATGAAGGCTTCACAGGAAGATACACAAGAAATGCATACAGATTATCCATACGTCGAAGGAATCCGAACCCAAGATCCCAATGATCGTGGCCGTTAAAATAATAAGCAATCCAGACTTTGTGAGATCTAAGGTTGTTACTGAACAGTGTGACGAGATTGAAGACAGCCATACTCAGACCAAACGTTCTTACTTTGAGTCCAGCCAGGTTCGTGATCAGAAATGAAGTTACAATATTGAGAACCGAGATTGTGATAACGTGCCGATGCATCCAGATTGAATATCTCACCGGTCAGGTGATGACAACTTAGACGAATTATGACCAATAAAAAACGTTCTAAGAGAAAAACCTGCCCCAGTTCTACTTTGTCTCTCACAGGTCATAAAATGAAACGTCTCTATTCCCACGAAAGGCACAGGCGAGGTTCAAATTTAAGACGAAGTTGTAATGTGTTGGTAAGTTGTTACTTCTGAAGATCGCCTTCATGTTACTCATCGCCCTGATGATGGGGGCAGTAAGTACCTCTGAAACGTTGGTAAACTTCTACTATGCCACACGGCTCTACAACCTAGAAGACACCCATCTTCGGACTCACCGCCGTGAAAAACTCAACCGCTACTTAACAGTTGCTGTTGTCGCCTACATGATACCTTACCAGTACCTTTCACACCGAAATTTCCATACGAAAATTATGATTATCTTTTGTTTTTTCATTCCCATGTCGTAAATATACATCCTATTTCTGCTTTGTAATTATAAATAGTGCAACAATACTAGGCAAGGATTTAACGCGTGAATGTTTTTTGTGCTGGTACTTGGAGAAAAGCCACGGTGGTCTAGCGGTTAGAACGCTGGCCTTGTAATCCTGGGGTCTCGGGTTCGATTCCCGGCGGTGCCCAAATTTATAACTTGTGTTGGGCAAGGCCGTGGTCTAGGCAACACGGAGTTTTCCTCCGGGGGCTTCTTCCCCGGTTTCTCCGTGGCATCCCAACAATTACTCCATTCACACACAGAAGAACGCAATGGCAAACCACTTCTGGATCATCTGCCAAGAACGTATATGAACAGGTCCCAGTCCGAGAAAAGGATGGAAGGATCCTGTTCATATGGACCTAGGGAACGGAATACTGATAAGAAAAGAAAAAAGAAAATAACTTGGAGAAAGTAAACCATTCTGTCAGGCAGAGTCCGACTTCCTACTACGTAATTTGGCCGAAATCCGTTTATGAAATATGCTGCCGATAGAAGAAAGCTACGTAACTCCGTTCAAAGAAGGCGTCAACGCAGTCTGATCACTAACTGCCAGCGTCACGTTCAGGCTACTTTAACCCCCCCCCCAGGGAACGGAATACTGATGCCGGTAAATGAACCCGGGTTCTCAAGTTCGTGGCCAGTTACTTTCTGGATTGAGTTACTGCCTGACTGAACTTTTGAATCGAACATTGGGTACTGTAATACTGTGTGAAGCTCCTGAGAGGGTGTGAAGAAGTTATATAAAGTGTCGGCCTTTCGCAACAGTTATTAGATCGTAACCGTTCTGTCAGCCTCCGCCAACTCTGAGTAGAAATCCGATCTCGTTTTGTCTTTAGCCTGGTTTTCCAAGGAATAAATACTTTTGGTGTCATCCCAGTAACTTTTCAAACACCTATGCGACTTCAATAAAATAAGGCATAATGACAATGTGACGAAAGCTACTACTTCGTGGCACCACAGCCCTTACGAAATTGAAAGTAGTAGCTTCACTTTCGTCACATGGTCATTATGCCTTACTTTATTGAACTTTATTCCGGCGCTCAGTTATCCCTAAATCTGTCCAGTTAAAATAAATCCGGTAGTCGCGTGATATTTAACCAATAACAGCCATGAAATCGTGAAGCAAATCTCTGTATCCAACTGCAGGCATTTTTTTATTTTAAATAACGAGAGAGAAGACAATTTCCAAGTGCGTTCTATGCGACATTTGATCCCTCAGTGGTCTTGGTGTTCATTTACTGTATACACAAAGCTATCAGCACTGAAAATTATTATTCTTCATACAGCCCATTAATGACAAAGCTAATAAACAATGAACAGCCATAAATTCTTCTTCTTTGCCCTTCGTTAAGTATAAATTACATAGAAAATATTTATGAATGAGAGGTACAGATCTTAATAACATCTATATTTTATGTTGTCATCATATGTTTTGTTTTGAAAAATTTGATAAAATTCAATTTGAACTTCGTGTACAGTATGTGTTATAGTGAATAGAAATGGAATAAATGTAAATTTGCATGGCAAATTTCACATGTTAATTCTGTAAACGAAATATGAAGACGGACACACAGGACCCCCCGCAATAAACAATAATTTTAAATGTGTAGGATACTGTTTCTCAAATATTTATTTCCATACAAATTTCTGAAAACCAAGGCGGCGGTTAACGTGACTAAACAACCTGTATGTAATTGTGTGTGTGTGTGTGGGGGGGGGGCATCTCAAAGGTTTGCTGGTTATATTGCATAGCTTCTTCATGACAGAAGCGTTGGACATGGAAGAAATGAATGAACTCGTTTCACTTTTGTCGATACGAGGTGCGATCGGAAAGTTTCTAGACTGCGCCTATAAAAACCCGTACACTTATCTCAGGTATTAAATTCATCCATCATCCTCGAAGTAGTTCCCCTGGGAGTGAACACAACGATCCCAGCGCCGCTGCCAAGCCTGGAAGCATCCCTGGAAATCTTTCTTTGTCAGCCTGTCAAGCACCATCTGCGATTCTGCCTGAATCTCTTCTATCGTCTCAAATCTCCTTCCCTTTAGCTGAATTTTCAACTTTGGGAAGAGGAAGAAGTCACACGGAGCTTAAAAAGGAAGTTGGGGTCGGTTCTTGCAAGATCTTTAAACTCCTGACAAACGAGAAGTCGATTCTGCTTCTAGTCCTCTGACAGGATGCGTCGCATGTGGAGTTCTTCCTTTAGAATCAGCTGACAGGTCCCATAGCCTATCCCAACAATGTCGCACAAATCGTTGATGGTACGACGTCGATCTTCGTAACAGTTTCGGGCGTTGTGCTCGAAGATGGTCGTCCAGAACGCTCGTCATCATCGACAGAGGTTCGGCCATTTTTAAAACGTGAATGCCACA